AAGAGGCAAAGAGCAACAGCTGAGAATAGAAAGATTACATGTCAATCAGCATGTGATGTTTAATACTCTGTTTTAAAGAGTTTCATATTGAAGTCACATCTATGAAAAAAATTCACACATGTAACAATTACCTGTTTCTTGATAGTACTTTCAAAAATTTGTGGGGCATTATCCCTGGTAAAGGTGATAACCAGAGGTAGCTTGTTCGCAAAGACAAACTCCACAATTGCAGTCTTATCAAATTTACCATCTGCACAAATGAGAAAGTGAGTATATAGGTAATGCAACCCAAAATCTCAATCTGAGAAATCTTAGCCAATGTGATAACAATAAAGAAACTAACCAAAATAGCTTAGTTTCTCAGCCTCCTTCTTTAGCAGGACCAAAGCAGGGCGCTTAACTTCAGCGTCAAGATGGAAAAGTTTTGCCACCTTAGGATCTACAGTTTGGTAAAAGGACACCTCATCTTCAAGTCTTGAAGCAGCGGCAAGCTCGTCACTCTCAGGACCCTTTTATCATAAGAACAACACATAATTACAACCAAGTATCGTATCATGGGAGACAAATTACAAAAGTTAACAAGAGTAAATTCTGAGATCTTCCAGCCACCTTTGTTTTCCTTTTCTGCTTCGAAAAATCATTTTACAGATACCAACTTTATTATTAATTTATTACATGAAGAAAAATCTAAGTGTTTTGTATGCTTCATTGATCACCTACTTTTGAATTCCTATTCTAGATTATGTGCAATTAATCAAAATGCAAAATTCAGCAGATCCCCAATTCGGCATTTGACAGCCAAACTTGTCCTAATAGATTCGGCTAGTTCCATGTCCACGTATATTACTCAAACAAACTCTAGGCCGTCAACTAAAAGCCGATCGCTTGGACCACATTCTAAATTTAAGATTAATTCCATTCCTAGACTATGAAGAGGCAACTGTAACCTGGAAGAAAATTTTCAATCTCCTTATTACCGCCACCAGAGTTTACGACCAACCATTGTATTATGCACATTAATTATAATCTAATGCATTATTATAAAATCACAAAATTATACATTTCAGATTTCATAACATACCACCAAAGAGTTGAGGTAGCCCAAAACGACTTTGCTTTCAGCAGTCAATATGCGTTCCGCATCCTCCAATGTGGTCACGTTTTGGATGCCAGGTCCAATCTTCTTCTTAATCCAGGTTACAATTCCCTCCCTGAATTCACAATTCCAAAAATTTAAAACAATCCATAAAATTTAAAAATTTAAAAATCGGCCCCTGCAATTTTGATAATTCTATCAAATTAACCAAAAAAGAAACTCACTTGGTCCTTTGGCCTGCGTAAGGCTTGTGAACGCCATCAATGAAGAAGAAGATAGTCGGGAAACCCTCGATGCCGTACTCCTGCGACAGCTCGTTCTCCTCTGTGGCGTCGACCTTGGCCAAAATTACATCTTCCCCCTTGAGCTCGGTAGCTGCCGCCGCGTACTCCGGTTTCAAGGCCTGGCAGTGTCCGCACCACGGCGCGTAGAACTCGACCATGACGAACCTATTCTTCTCCACCACATCGCTGAAGTTCGCTGCCTTCAAAACGGCGACGTCCTTCTCGTCCACCTCCGGCTCCTTGTACGAGTCCTCATGATCGCCACCCTCGTCAAAATCAGAGTAGTTCTCGAGATCGTCGTAATTGTCCTCGTCGTAGTGATCCGGATCTGGATAGTGCGGCGCGTCGTCGCCGTGGTCGGTGGGCTCCTCGAGGAAGCTGAGATCCTCATCGTCGTCGTCGATGGGATGCGATTCCTTGCAGAAAACCGAGTGGGAGAAGAAGAGGAGAGCGCTGAGTGCGAACGCGAGAACGAGTCGACTCGCCATTTTTGAGCGAGCGAGTTCGGGGATCCAATGAGTGAGAGTGAGATCCGGTTTTAGCAGGGTTTATAGTGGAGGAAGGATGGAAGACAAGAGGAGTCAAGGCCTCGTACGACGTCGTTTCGTAGGGGTCAATAGAAATGCTTTACCGTTGGAGTTGCCGCCGGATTTGGTTCTAAAGCGTTACAGCATCTTTCACGTTGACCGGCATTAACTCAAAAGCATTTTATAGATTGGAAAGCAACTTAAGAAATTACCAAAGAAAAAAAAATGTAACTTCAGACATAATTTTTCTTGAGTGTTTTCGAGTACTTTGAATCTTCAAGTGACAAATCGTAAGCGGTGTGGTCAAGAGGAGTGTTTGTTCTTGCACCACGACGTGAGTTCGAATTTCTTCGATTTAATAATCTAACATTTAATTTTATAAATTTATTATTTGACTCAAAAAAAAAAAAATCTTAATGTCATAAATCGAATTCATTCAACCATTGTTAAGCAAAAATTGAAATCTCACTAAATTAATAGAATTTTGGTATCTCGCTTTATAAATATATACACATAAGCTGCTAAACCCTTGTCGATAAATTGATATCTTGCTCAATTTATAGAATTTAAGTGGTATCAAGGCTATTAATTTAAAGAGGTTAAATTGTATTGCATCTATATATAAAGCCGGCAGGCTTTTGAACAGTAGTTTTTTGGGATCACAGGCTTCACCAAAAAGAAGTGGACAGAAATGCGCCTCAAACAAAAAACTTCAAAAGCATTTCAAAATAAAGCATCAAATATGGCATGGTATTTTCATCATATAAATAGTGTTTTTATATTACTATTACTGTATATAACAGTGTTTTATATTACTTTCCCGTACAGTGTTTTTTATTTTATTTTATTTTATATTTTTTTATAAGTAGTACCTCACAATCGGTTAGCAATAATGTAATTCAATTAGTTGTTTATTAAATATTATTTTCTCTATTCTTAATGTAAATTCAATAAAATGTAGATCAAAATTGAAGACCGATTTTATTATGTGGATTCAGCTGCTTTAATTGGTTTATGAGCGGTTTTTTTTAGCATGGTCTAATATTATTCATTTAAAACGTGTAAGTTGCGTCTAACACGCCGTGATTCCAAAAATATCCATGTGTGCATGAAGGCTAGTATAATCTTAAGTTTGCATGATTACAGCTATTATAATTCATTAGACTCCAACGGGGTTTTAAATGATTTAAGAACTAATCCTACTAGCCTGTGTATAAATCACAGACTTTAGAGTTTTATAAATTTTGGGCTAAATATATAACATAAAGTAGATAATAACTTTTTTTTTTTTTTAAACGATATTATTGAAACTAAGAGATTGTAAGCCTCATAATGGGCTAGCATAAAAACAGCCCAAAATAATGCATCAAATGTGGTAGGGGTATTTTTGTCATATAAACAATGTTTTTAAATATTTAACTATTTACTGTACAGTGATAAACAATGTTTTTAATATTTAACTTTTTCCTGTACAATGTTTTTTTTAATATTTTTTTAATTAGTACCTCACAATGGGTTAGCAATAATATGATTCAATCAATTGTTTATAAAATATTATTTTCTCTATTCTTAATATAAATTCAATAGAATGTAGATTGAAATTGAAGACAGATTTTATTATGTGTATCCAGCTGCTTTAATTGGTTTATGAGGGGTTTTTTCTAGCATGCTATAATATTATTTATTTAAAACGTCTAAGTTATGCGTAACACGCCGTAATTCAAAAAATATCTTCTTGCGCATGCATGAAGGCTAGTATAATCTTAAGTTTGCATGCTTACAGCTATTATAATTCAGTGGACTCCAGCAGGGTTTTAAATGATTTAAGAACTAATCCTTCTAGACTTTAGAGTTTTATAAAATTTGGACTAAATATATAACATAAAGTAGATAATAACTTCTTTTTTTTTAAAAAAAAGGTATTATCTAAACTAAGAAATTGTAGAAGTATGTTTAATTTCACAATGGACTAGCATAATATAGTTTAAATTCGTCTTTAACGAAAATCGAATCTAAGACCTTTCGCTACTAAATATAATACTCTTTTAAAAAAATTCAAACGACCCCTTAAAATGTTTCATTATAGAAGTATTTTGTTTAGTCTCGTTATCGTGCATGAGGTAGCTTTGTTTCGCTTGAATAGTTAACAACTGATTCTAAAGTTTCAAGAACATGGTAAAATCCCTCCAGCTTGAGACCGTCTTACGTAGGGAAACAAGTATCATGAACATCGTATTTTGTTTAATGACTTGATGAAGAGGAATTTAGACAAACATATTTCCTAATCCTAGCAATCCTCAACTAGCAAGTTGCAAGTCTTATGACGCGTGAAGAGATAAGAAAAGCAACTAGGAGTTGGATCGGCTCCATGATCTAAATAAATAAAAAATATTAATTTTAAGTTGAAGATGTTTACATGATCTCTGCACGTTCAATTTCTTGCCATGGAAGCAGCACAAAGCTAGCAAGCAAGGATTCATTCGTCAATGGATCTCAACAAATGGTTTCTTTACTTTACTTCTAACGCAGCTTTTGCTATCTAAAATCGTCTAATAGGAAACCTCTTCAAAGGTTCTGAGTCAGGACGACATAGTCCAACTAGCTTTTAATCTAATGATATTTTACTACTTTGTCCGTGAAAATTTGCATAAAATGTATGTTGGGTCATTTGGACTATAAAGGGAGCTTTTCAAGTGGTTCCAATTTGTTAAAATCGTTCTTATTAGACCCCGTTTTGTTTTTCTTTCATTTTCACCAAAAATATTGCTTCGCTTTAAAATTAGAGTTAATTACATTTGTACTCTCTAGTTTAGGTACCATTTCAACCTCTTACCTCAAATTACAGTTTGCACCCCCTCCTGTTAGTCGCTTCATTTTATAAATTCATTGATATGTCATACCTCTAGTTGTTAAGTTGTTTATTTGATCGTTAAATGATGGATTGGAAAAAATGTGCCAAAGATTGCACATCAAAATATACTTGGCTTGGTTGCTTTGAATTGAATATAACATATTGACAACCAGCTAGCATCACCAAAGCCAGTGATTTTCTTGAAGACCTGTACAGCTTTTAGAGAATTGCTAATTTATACATTGAACCCTGAACTTTTACTATTTTCATTTGATTCATGTACTCAACAATGCTTTTATGTATCATATATTTTTCTTGTGTAATTAATTACAAATCAATCAAATCTATAAAAGAATGAAGAGAAGACACTGATACAAGGAACTCATTTGAAAAGCTCACTCCCAAGAGTCACAGCACCTATCTCCTCATCAACTTCTATATGAAAATGGTTACTTTCTCTCCCCTGACGAATTCGTTCTAGCTCCTCCACAACAATCTGCATCTGCGGCCTTCGTTCGCTCCCATCTACACACATCAGTGCCAGCTCCATCATCTGTTTTGCAGTTTGCCTTGACATGTCACCTAATGTTTTATCAACAAATCTGTCTAAATCCTTGCAATCCTTCACCTACAAAAGCAAACGAAACTTGATTAGAAATGAAAATAGTCCTGTGCTTCGCCTTGTTGCTTTCTCCTTTTGTTTACAGTTGTCACATAAGCAGATCTTAAGAACGAACAAAAGAATTACTTCTTTGTATGACAAACTTGTAAGAACGAATAGTCAGTGAAGTTTCACACCTACGCATAAATGCATATATAACGATGAAAGCATGTAATGCTAGAGTGAATGCATTGTTCAGAACCAACAACTCATTCTCCCTCTCCACGAACTTTTGATCAACTTCGTTCAGGATGTACTAGGATTTTCTCTCTACTACATCTCTCGCACACTCTAAAACCTTCATTCTTTCTTTAAAAGCTCTCCAATTACGTCACTTGATCTGATCCGAAAGGATAAGAACAACCTGCAAGCTACTCTAGAATCTTGAGAATGTACATTAAATTAGAGAGAGCTTCAGCTATCATTTTGCTTGCCTTAGAGAAGTGAAGTGTCCATCCACATAAAGACGTGTGGAGTGCAAGAGTGTAGATGGGTGGCGTTTGTCATCAAACAACAGACAAGTTCCTGATGGCCTATACCTAAAAGGTAAAGACTGGGGGAATAAGAAGTTATCGTAAGGGCAAGATAGAGATAGACACCTGCAACTATTAAATTATCCCCCAAGTTCAACTGGTTTCTTGCATTCACTTCACGTCCACTGATCAATTCCAGTAAGAAGACCCCGAAACTGTACACGTCACTTCTCTCTGAAAACTTCTTTGATGAATCCAACCTTTACGAAAAGTAAGGAGTAGAAAGATTAGACATCATCAACAAATTCAGTCTAAACAGAACTACCGTAGTTCTATAATGAATGAGATCTGAAGGTTTTTCTTCAATCAAATTAGTCAACTTAAAATTCGAAGCAACTTCCACTATAAGAAATAGAGGCATAACTTGATGAAGCACTCAGAAGCAGATTGTTACTAGCTGCTCAATGTAGTACTAGAAGAAAGTTAAATCATACAGTAATACAATCAACTTCTAAAAGTTTGGCACTCAACTGATTATAGAACTCGACATAATCAAGGTACTGTTCAGTGTTAGATTGTTTTCACCAATCTAGACTGCTTAACGTGCGAAAATGACCTGCAACGAATTGACTGGGGAATCTTTGCTGAATAAGTTGGTGGAGGAGGAAACTTACTCTTATATTCCTCAAAGGCAATTCTTGCATATCAAGCGATCTTGATCATTAGTGACAAATAGCATTACAGGCACAAAGTGGTGGTATCCACATCCTAATCTAGCATACAGACTTAGCACTTTAAGGATAGATTACATACTCTGGGTCAAGAAAGCAATCTACGGCTGAAGATGAGCCAGCATGATGACCCACTAGCAATTTGGTTAGTCCATAATCAGACACCTTGGCAGTAATGCTTTCGTCCAGTAGAACATTGCTTGTACAAAAATGCATGTGCAGAAGAGGAGGCACCAAACTGTGAAGGTGCGCAAGTCCTTTTGTGCAAAATATACGAAAGAGGAAATTCAATTATTTAATGCAAAAGATAAAGACTTGCACAGGAACATGAAGCAGGTGGTGTACCTTTGGCTGCACCCAAAGCAATCGATAGCCTTTGCTTTATGCCCAACTTTCCAATAGGTAAACCTTCAGCATCTGCATAATTATGTTGTTAAGAGGGGGAGAGAGAGAGAACGAAAGAGAGTGGGAGGGAGAGAGAGAGAGAGAGAGAGTACCGTATAGATGATTCCCAACATTTCCATTTGGAAGATAGTCATATACAAGTAACTGTTGAGTAGCATCTTGACAATAACCAATAAGCCTGAGAATATGCATGTGGTTGACACGAGCTACGTGCTTTACCTGTATCACATCAAGAGAAGTCAGAAAACTCAGAAGTTGCTGCCAAATCATTTTCTAGGCACTACCTCACTAAGAAAGTCATGGTTTACTAGATAAGAAATTTGAATAGGCACTTGCGTACCTCATGAAAGAAATACTGAGTTGGGGCATGTAGGCGTCTCTTGACAGCCACAATAGTTCCATCTTGGAGCAATCCCTTGTAGACCAAACCAAATCTACCTTGGCCTATGATATTAATTTCATTGAAATTGCGCGTTGCTTGCTCCAGTTCCAATATTGTGAGTTGCCTCAAGTTTGGTGCACTGTATGGAGAATGAGCAACGGCGTAGGGAGATGTGTCCCCTCTTTCCCACTGAACTGAAAGAAATCAAAGAAGGAACCAATTCACCAAAATTACCCAGTAAGCCAAACCACAACCTTAACAGATAAAACACCATTTAATATTCTTGCTGGGTTAATTAGAATGCAAGGTGGTTAAATACAGGTAATCCAAACACATGGATGTTTTGCTCCCTTTCGTAGAACAAACAAGTTGATTTATCTTGAGGACCTCAATTTGAGAAAGGCATGTCCGTATTGTACCAACGTGGTGTGTGTGGCCAGAAACTCATTCCTTACCCCAGTGCTGCTTCAATTTTGAAGCCTTCAAAACAGTGTCTATAAAATTGTATTGTTCATCATTTGACTTAACAAGAATACGCAAGGCAACTCGTATTTCAAATGTTTTATGCCATGTCTCTTTCAATAAACTGCCAGGAAGGCTGAAGGCATATGCAATGCAAGGAATCCACAGAATTCTTTGGCTAATGACCAATGCAGTTAGATGTTTGCCTAATTTGAGTCATTTTACATCCTTTCAGGGTCTGAAAATTCCTCATATGGTTATGAGCCAACTTACCAGTGGGTGATGGTGCAGATGATACTGTCTCAGATGTTCGCCTAGTTAATCTTTTTACACGCAACAAGCAGATGTAAACGAGCATCACTATCATAATCACAAGCAGAGTGGCAACAACTCCACCAGTAATTGCTGCAATTTTCCGTTTTGATGAATGGTTACCACGAACTTCTTCCACAGGTGTGAGTGTTGGAGTACCGTTATCCCCATCAACTATGGCTTCTATCCTCCTGCTTCTTGGGTTATGGTGCTCTTTTCGTAGTTGAATTGAAGAGTGTGTAACGAAAAGTCTTGGAGCAAAAGGTGGCAAACTGACTGCGTTAGTCCACAAAGAAACTGAACAGATTCCAGAAAACCTGTTGAAGCATAACATCTAACATACTTCTTACATGATTACAGAAATATAATCAATTTGTTCGCTTGCGTCTTATATTAATGCTATGAAGGCAACAATTGTTCTACTCTGATTTTTTTTAATGAATCATCATATACTATTTACTTCTACATATGACAGAATGCACTGCTAGAGAGAGAGAGAGAGAGAGAGAGAGATCTTACAGAGGATAAATGCAAGGGTCCTTCAGTTTGTGACAGTTGACAATTTTCCATTGTCTTAGACAAGAACATCTTCCAATTCGACTATCAAACAGTTGAGGACTTCCACCTCCGCTCTTAAAAGTTAGTAGAGCTTCAGCTACATATTTCAGAGAGGGAAAAAAGAATAAGAAATCAGCATTCTTCCAAATGCGAATCGCAATGAAGATTAAGCAAAGCATGTTACTCAAAACCAACAAGAAGTAAGAACATGACAGCCTAAACATCATGCACATTTTTGCGTCAATCGCATGCCTAGCCAAACCATTTCGGACATGAACAAGAAGTTGCAGCATAGCAGTTTAAAAGGGAATTCCGATGTCCAAAACAATCTAAACACCGTGTACATATTCGAAGCAGCAACTTAAACATATGATTTCAACCTATGAGTCAAATAACAGTAGGAAAAATGGTTGCTTTTAGTTCTTACAGAAGAATCCATTCCATTCCATTCAAACAATATGCACAAGCAGATGTGGCAATAACGAAGTTGGATAGAGCAAAATGCTCCTACTCCGACTCAAGTTCGAATCCCGTTTCTGGCAGTTTAGATTAGATTAAAATATCGAATAAAAAAGAAGAAGCAAAGTGAGGGAAAAAGTACCATAAATTATGTAGCTTGTTCTGCTGGGTTCCAAAATCTGGATGAGAAGAAGCAGAGGCAGCTGTTGCCACCAGAACAAGCGCATTGTCAATAAGCCTCAACCCATTTGAAAATCCACCCCCCTCCCAAAAAAAACAAACCACCCTGCAAATTTTAAACCAAACAAAACCCTAATCAGCCACCCAATCCAGATTCTCGAGACTTGAAGAACCCTCAAGGACCGACAGAACAGGCTGTCTTGTCTTTTGTGGGACCATTTGCTGTGTTTCTTGTACAACGGCTAAAATCCCAACATTGCATTCACACTTGGCAAACAAAATCACAAAAAACCCACATCCCAAGAGATTCCCATGGGAATCGCAGAAACATCCACATGAAACAGTTCAAAACTTGGGAAATGTTCAAGTCCCAGAACCCAGATAGTGAATGATGATAATTGATAAGAAAGTGCTGTGCTTTTCCCTCGGGTTTTTCACTTTTCACCTTACGAAAAAAAAAGCAGCTTTTTCTGACAGGGCTTTTTACTTCTGCGGTTCAGAAAAATTTTAGGATTCTCGCGAAAGTAATCAGACCCCAAATTTCCAAATCTTTGCAGATTTTTGAATTTTTGATTGTTTCACAAGAAGAGTGTAAAACCAGTACTGATGCAGAAAAAGTTAGTCAGCACCAAGCTAAAGTATGACTAAATGGGCCTTCCCATCAATGTTAGAACATGTTATCCGTGAGAATCTTTTGCAAACTTCTTTTCTTTCTTTTTTTCTTCTACATGTCAAGGAAAATTAAAAAAAATAAAAAAATAAATATATATATAGATATATATAGTCCAGAGAGACGGAGACAGAAGGACAGAAAAAGCAGACATGCCCTGCAAAAATGAAGCTGAAGAGATTCATAGATTATGGAAAAAGCAGCTTATTTTGTTGCTGCCATAAGGCTTCAGCTTACCGGAGAATTCTTGTATTTTGAGTTTGTTGAGGTCCCTTGTGCAGGTTTACATTGGAAACAAGGACTTCCTCTCCCAGAAAAGCAGCTAAACAGACATAATGAATGACATGACACACAAGACATGTTCCAAGTAGGTCCGGATGTTCCTATGCTATGACATAAGAACAGTTCTTCTTCAAAACCCCTCTTTGTTTTTGGGCCTCTTTCACATTTGTTGACAGTCTCAGACAACTATAGAGCATTAAATTATTAATTTTTCAAATTTAAGAAATTCAAATCATTGTTTGTGTTGCTTTATAGAGAATTAGAAATGATTTGGACAGTCATTACGTGAGATTTTAACTATTAATGCAAGCGAGTATTACAATACATTAACGGTTGACAGTCATTTATGTACGTATAAACGAATATTACTTGCACAACTCTTATATAGATTCATAAGAAGTTTTAGTTTTTAAGTGTTAGTCAACTTACGTAGAAACTAAGCATGTTGTGTGTACTTTTTCATATGCCAATACATTTATTATATAAGGTATTTGAGTCTACATGATATAAGTACACATGAGTCAATGAGAAGATGTGTCCAACACTTAAATAAGAGTGGAATTTCAGCTGATGCAAGCTAATCTCATAACACATTAATGGCTGACAGTTATTCACGTGTGCATAGACAACGATTACAATGATCGAATTTTTTGACGAATTTTCTCTTTCCAAAGTAAGAACAAATTTGAGATTGTATTCTTTGCAAAGCAACAAACTTTTTTTTTTTCTTTTGAACAATTGATATTATCTACACTAAGGAGGAGGGAGTGAGCTTAGCCTCATAATAGGTCAGCAATAATTTAATTTAAATTCATCTTTGGCGAGAATTGAACCTACGACCACTCACTTACAAGCGAAGATGAATACCACTAGACTATAGTACTAAAGTGGCAAAGCAACAAACTTTACTTTTTGAATTTGGAGAAGAACTTGCATGCAATTATGACGTCAATATGGCACTAACCCACACCAATTACTCATGAGTAATGCCAGTGGTTGCATGTAATAAAGTTTCTCTCATAAATTTGAGGTAGTTGTGTAACCAGATTATAACTGCTTCCAAGTTCCAACTTCTAACTTCCAACTTCCAACCCAAGTTATTATGGAATTCAACATCAAGACCGTAAAGATTTTTTGTTTAACCGGAATTTTCTACGGTGATCTGATACTCCGGAGTACCATAGTACATTCTCATGTGTCATTGTGTGTGTTCGTTCAGAAAGGGCTTATCTACCACATAATACAAGTACTAGTGAGTTTACGAGGAAGGAGGGTTTTTGGGTACCAAGTCGTTGTCGGACTGGTCCTGCATAATCCTGCGGTTCATGGAGTCCAGAAGGTCCCACAACCAGCGACGGTCACATGACACTGGGTTGCTGTGCTGCCGAGCGTTGGCAGATGGGACTCTAATCTCTATCCTTGTTTTGAAAAGTTGGTTTTTATGGAAAATAAAATAAAATAAAAGAAGCACTCTTGTGACCTAGTCCTTTTCTTCCTTCATGCAAGCCTTATTGGGAGGATATTAATATTTTTAACCATTTGAGTTGCAGATTTTTAATTTGGTAGTTCAAAAAGTTCATCTTATGTCTTCCGCATCTTCTCAATTTGGCTTGCGCAAAAAACGAAATGAAAGTATCATCTTAAGTTTTCTATCTGTTTTTGAAGTTTATCTTTAAATTAATTTTCTCACACCACAACTTTCTCATTCAACAACTTTATCAAACAGCCGAACAATTAAAACTTTTTTGAAAAATAAAAAGTTGTCCCAAATAATCAACCCGAAACAGACAGTAATTCTTGTGATTTGAGGTTGAAACTAAATAATGTAATTTGGGAATGAATTTGTTGGAGGATTTCTCAAAGGCTATGTCTTTTTTGTTGTGTTGATTTTTATGATTTGCATTTAGGGGAACAAGTTTAATTCCTTAAAAGTTGCAATGTTTATGTCAATTACACCAAAATAGTATCCGAGCTTTGTTTCAATAGCCTTGGTGTGTACTAGGTACCAACCCAACTTCGAATATTTATTGGGAAGATTTGTAGTTAATAGTGTGAGAATAAATAAATACATAAAATGTCTTAGAGCATCTCTAATAGAGATTGTCAAACGTGTTTTGACAAAAATATGATTTTCTGGTTCACCAAAATTCCACATGGATTGACATTCTTCACTTTGCTGCCAAATTTGAAGGTAACGTCAAAAATATTTTTATATTATTTTAATGATGAACCCATACATTTATTCTTTCTTCATTTATTGATTATTTTATTATTAAATTCTAACTCACTTGATTTTATAAATAACTTAAAAAGCATTTTAATTTAACATCTTGGTTGGAATATAAGACTATACAAAATGTTATTTTGTCATATCAGCTATAAAAATAAAATTTGACATTTTAATGTAACATTCTCATTGGAGATAAACTTTCAATAAATTTAGAAGAAGTTTAACTAGTTTTGCTCATCGAAACTGATTTCAAAATGAAACCCCAAATATTTTGTTTATCTGAAAGCGCTTTTAACACTCCAAGAACAACTAAGAACGCGGATGAAAAGAGTGTGCCGATGAAGTTTCCTATGACCAATCCATAATCACAAGTTGGGATTGTTCGAAATAGACCGAGTCAGACAATTCGTGAACCCGAGTTCAACCCATCCTCTCACAACCCGTCTTATACGGGTTGATATTCTTAACCGGATTCAGTTAGGGTAACGGGTTAGAACCCATCTATGCATTATACTGGGCCTACCCATGTAAATCGCTTTTAGGTTGGGCCTGGAGTTCATAAATTTAAACCCAGCCCAAATCAAGTCCCCTCCCCTGTCGCGCGAGCCTAACAAAATCAGCTACCCATTGTTCTCCACCATCTGCACAGAAATCAAATCGAACAGCCCCAAATTCCATACGCACATCCGCCATGATTAGCGTTCTTGCTCAGGTAGTCCTCAATCGAAATTACAAATTCAAAGCTTTTTGTTTCGATTCGTGATTTTCTCGTATGAACAAAATTTTAAAAATGCAGGAGCGTCTGCTGGGTGCTGCACTCGGAAGCATTTTCACGGGGATCGTTGTGTTCGAGCAGCGCCGATGCATCTACAACTCGATTTCAGGGACCAAACCTCAACCAGTTTCCCGGGTAATTTCCAATTTGCTTGTATAATTGTTGGTGTTAAGGCGTCGTTTTGTGCCGACTGAAAACCCTAGCTTTAGCGTGTGAAGTCTTAATCTTGTTGGTTTGTAGCTTTTCCCAATTGGTCGTGTTTACCAGATAATGCGGTTATGGCTAGGATTAGGTTGCTTGATCAGTATAATTGGATCATTTGTTGGCGAAAATATTTGATTTTTTATTGTAATTTTATTGTATTATCTATGATAATCATTTTCTGTACATGACCACCTCGAAGTACCGCTGTGGATTCGATAAACTCAACAAATTTTGCCCAATGAGGTCTATAACATTGTAGAACTGAATTGGTGATGATCACGGTTATCTGGGGAATGAAATGGTAGGGAAATCAGGGGATGGGTATTTGTTCTTATTCGTTTCGGCGAGTAATTATATGGGTTTTCTGTCGTTGCTTTCTCCTTGAAACTTGTTGATATGAAAATCTTTGGCTTTGATGATGTACGATTATAATCATAGGTAGGCGTATAGACATATGCATCTATTTCAGTTAAGCTACATCCCAAAAGGAAAGTTAGAGGAGTGGAATAGCTAAGGCGTGGGGTGGAAACACTTGCATACATGATTTTGTTACAATTTACGGGTCTAATGGTTGTTTGGTAGAAATGTTTGTTCCTCATAGGACATTTGATATTCAGCAATACCGAAAAACAAAGTAGCATCTTCTCAGAAAGGAGGAGCAACCTTTTGGCAATCGGATAAATAGAAATGTGGCATGTCCGAACCAATATAACAATTCTCTTGAGTTTGTATAGAAAGCATTATCGTTTAGGGACTTGTGAGTATTGTGTTGTAATATAGGATCATTGAGATGGGTCTAATCTAGTTGATACATGACCTATTAATGATGTACTTGATGGAATATTCATTACTTTAAGAAAAAGAGTTATTACTTTCTTGAAATTATTCATGGTCAACTATCATTGTTCATCGCTAATTATAGGAACAATTATTACGCAGAATCCAAAATTGATCCTCGTTCTTTCTTGTAAACCATATACTGGCATTTTTTTGTTCCGGATCTAAATTTTTCCATTTGCTAATGATATTGTAGGAAGAACTGTCGAGTCCTAAACATTGAATAAGGTGGGTTTGGGGGAGGAAAACTGAAGTTGGAGTAGGTTAATTTTGGGTTAAATTTCTTTGATGCAGCTATTGCTCATGTAACAGAAGTTGGTGAAGGATAAAACTCTTGGTTCATGAAAGTTGAAGAATAGGTAAGTTGAGATTAGAATCCTTTTTGGCTGGGCACTCTCTCTGCACTTTTCAAGTGAGGTCGTAAACTTTGGATTTATGACCTTATGTTATGGACTTGTGTGCACTTTCTGTGTTTGGCTTCTTTCTTAGATCATCTCCATCAAACTTATCATGTAGCTGGAAACTATTAACCGAACTTACCAATAAGCATTCGTGACATAGATTGAAACATTTCGTGATTTATTGAGTTCCTAGCTTGCTTTGCTTGAATTCTAACAATTTCGGCTTTCAAAACTCTGCAGATTACAGAGCCCATATTTGGAAGGAAAACTCGTGCAGAGCTTGCACATCTTTGGAACAAATCTGTGGACCAGACATTTCGACCTGTGATTGAATCTCTTAGTTCATCTGGATGGTAGATAGATTTGAATTGCTGCACTGCACCCCGTATGGAGTTCTATTTGCGTGACATTTATACATGCTGAGCTAAACTTGCCCACATTGTATCTTTTTACATATTTTGAGCAAACCAGAAGATAATGCATCGTGACCACCATTTTAAAGGCATAATAATTTTGCCGGTAAACTATATTATATTTTTTTAATTTACATCCGTGAATATGTCTTTTTCATGATGGTTCATGACCTTCGTGACAGTTCAAGATTTACCAAAGATAAAACGAGAGAATGGGACCCGAATGTTCTGGCCCTGATTGTCCAACCAATCCATCTGGATCTTTTCTTCCATTGCGATCATTAGAATAACTGAACACATCTAGCTTTATGGTTGTTACTACAAATACCCCCAACTAGTGAGTTTCCTTCAGCTGTTTGTGACACTTTTGGTTTACTTTAGGAGTGCTTTTCATCCATTTGAAAAATGACAAGATCATTTGCGGATTCTTATCTCAAAGCGGCGCTAGGTGGAGATTTTAGAACAGTGGTTATAATACGAGTTCGATGTTCAGAGGCGGAGCCATAAAAGGATCAGGATGATCCTAGGCCGATCCTGAGATTTATCAAGCATAAAGGTTTAGCGTTATGCAAATGATTTTCAAGGTTTATTGTAAGCTCAGAGCCCCAATCTAACGTTTTTACTTTAATTTCTTTCATTGAGTTTGATTTGAGGTTTGTGGCTCCTATGGAGTTCAGACAATCTGTTGTTTGTGAGCTTTGAGGAGGCCTTTGGTCTGAGAATCAATGGAGGGTGAGAGGAAGAAAGTTAGAGAGGCTTGGGGTTTAAGTTTAGGGAAGATGATGATGAGAACAACACCATACCATACCCAAACGACGTTGATCAGTTGCTCATCACTCAGCAGAGTAAATTTTGTAAGATCAGGAGAGCGTTTTTCAGATTGAGATGTTTAGATCCCTCCTAGGCTAAAATTCTGACTCCACCATTGTCGATGTTGACGTTTTTAGAAATCGTAGGACATAATCATGAAACCTTTTTTTGTTTTTACCTTCATTCGTGTAGGTTACTTGCTATTTAACTTGTTAACATGGGGACCTCCATTTTCTATCATTGACTGCTCTCAATGTAGATTGCTTGGTAATCATTTTGTTTCTCAGTTTTGCTTGAATGCTAAAAAGTGAACAAACTTAATTGTCATTAAGGAAGGAAATTGTTATTAGCACTCCAAAAATCTCATTCTACACTCTAAACTTTCTATATTAGGAAATAAAAATACACTTGTGAGGAGTGAAGAATGAGATTTTTAGAGTGTCAATAATACTTCCCTTAAGAAATATGTTTAACTCGTAGATACCGTGCACTGATCACTAATTAATTATGGATACACACTACATAATCTGGTTTTAGTACAATGAAATGAAGGATAGATCATAGAGAGATCCAAGTAGGGTTGTAGATAGCTTGGTCGTGCCATGAAGCTTCATGCAGTGAGAAGAGAACTTCATACATCGGGTTTTACCGTGTTGGTTAGACTCATATTTGCACTGCGTGTGACAAGCACATAGTAAACGCCCATTGCCATAAAGACTGCAAATGCTAAACCGAACACAATGCCAGCAGCCCCAGCAGCTCCGAATCTCGCTCGCCGATTCTGTGATGTAGAGAATCTGCTCTCGTGTGCTTCTGTTGATCGTACTTGAGCTGCAAGAGGCAATGGTGAGCAATTGGATTCAACACATGGGTCTTTGGCATTGGGGTTTTGGGACGTTGGATGGAAAAAATTGTATGCTGACGGTGAAAACGCCATCGGGTTTTCTTTGGCAAGGCCGTGGGGGGCTCTTTCCTCGGCAAAAGCAACGGAAAGAAACGTCAGAGAAGCGAAAAAGAGAAAGATAGAAACCCTAGAAGCCATGTTTTCTCTCTTGCTAATGTATGTAGCAGTAGTTAGTCTTTTCGTATGAAACTTTTGGGTGCATTAGTGTGGCTTTTATAAGGTCCGAGGAGGGAGTGGTTGTCACTTCGCTTGGACTAGAATTTTGGTGATGGAAAAGAGGTCCAGGAAGGAACAGAATGATGGTGTACTGTGCCGATCTCCCCGAACCCTAACAAGAATGTCTAAATTTCCAGAAATACCCTTTAAAGGTTAATTTTGTTGCATTTTTTACGAAGCATTATTTCATTGAGAAGTTACATGCCAGTCCTTGAAGAGGTTATTTATAAAGGGTATGATTGTCATTTAATTTGTTCACAACCTTAATATCTTCAATACTTTAGTTTCTCTTAATCAGGTTTTTGCTCCACTTGAGTGCCTTAATTTTTAATCTTCTCAGAACCACTATGTCCTTAATTACTCCTTAATTCATAGATTTTCACAACAATATAACATACTAATTAAATTCATGGTTATCACAAGCAAACCACTTTTTGACCCCATCTCTTTAACTAATTTCTATGGGATGGTGCTATCCACACACCGCTCATAATTTTCGGCTGTCAGTTCGAATAGATTGAATAAAATCGACATAAATTAACAACAATGTGTGGGAAGTAATAAAAAGAAGTGTGTAAATAACACTACCCTTTCTATTTTGGTTCTCCCAAGTCTTCCCTTTGTAGCTCAAATGAGAGATGAAAATGTCTTGAACGGATGTAAAATACATATTTTAGCTGAAACGTGTAAATTACATCTTTCTTCTTACATCTTTAGGAGTTCGGCCTTGCCATTCAAAGATATTGAAGTAAATAAAATTCCAAATTTACATTGAATAAAACTTATATTTACATCTCAGAGTTCTATCTCTCCATTGAAATACTCTAGACGGTGGAGTTGAGCACAAAATCTCAAGTGTAAGAATAAGAACACATAACCACTCAAACTACAAAATGTCACAAGTCTTGTTTAATTATCATTACAGAAAATCAAATTTAAAGTGGTCTTGTAGTACCCGACAAGTACAATTAATATATGCATTGCAAACAAGCATGGATGTGATTTATGCACTGTTTCAAATGTAATTGATGGCAATGAAACAGAAAAGCAATTTGGTGGAATGTAGGGTGTAAAAGGAGCTAAGTAATGGAAGGAGGCTACCATAAGCATGGCGTGGAGGTTTCTTAGCTTGAAGGGGCAGCAAAGGCAACCTCCATGTACATGCATTCATGATGGGGCAGCCAAGCTTTGTGTGTGTGCCACCGGCCTTGGCAGTTGACATTATTGCAGATGTTTAAACGCATGCCGTTGCCAATTTGCCAAACCTCAAATAAATATTTCCATTCTCCCTCACCCACTCTAATGTTAGAGTCATGATTGATCATGAGTCTTGACTCTCTCTCTCTCTCTCTCTCTCTCTCTCTCTCTCTCTCTCTCTCTCTCTCTCTCTCTCTCTCACTAAGGGCATCCACAAGATCCTTGTTAATTGGTTCAGGGCATCACATGTTTGATCACTGCACCTTCCAAATCACGAGTTTGGTTGTATGTGATAAACATCTCGGACTTTTGGCTACTTCAACATTTCAATGTTTTGTTTTTGTGTTTGGTGAGCAAAAACTTTGATATCCAAATAGCGCTCCTTTGTTTCTTAGGATTTAAATGGATTTGACAACTTGTAAAACTCAAGATATATTGAAGAGAGCGATGGATGATTTCTCTTTGAGAGAGGATTAGACATGAAAAACTTATGTCTACTTATCCTACTATTTTTTTATGGAGAGAGAATTGTAATGTATATGATTTCTTAATGAGTAACTCATTTTCATTTTTCAAGTTGGACATAAATTATTCTTCTATTTCTTTGACATTCCTTTAATATAGTGAATCATCTTTTCTCGGTCATAGAACTCCAAACGAGATTATGTTCTTTGGGACAACTCATGTCCTAATGATATAGCAACAATTCATTTGTTTACAATTGGGCATCCTATAAAACTCATTTATTTGCAGACAATACGAAAATGCTATGTGATATGTCACGTCAATTGGTCTTGTACAAAAATTAGAGGTGCAACTTAGGTTGGGCCAATTCAAACTCGTCCATGTCCAACCTGACTTTAAACCCAACCAAGCGATTTTTTTTTTAGTTATAACCCGTCCGAACCCAACTCAATTTCAACCCCCTTCATTGATTGGGTTGAGTGGGGTTGATCATTTGCCGTCTATCCCCAACCCAACCCAATCAGATTAACTAAACTCAATCTAACCAGATTGTAACCCATATCAATTAATTCTCATACTACATCCAAGTGGGCTAAGTCCAAAAACCAACGCCCTTTCTAATACTTTTTTAATAAATTACCCCTTATAATTACTTAAGCTTTTAGGGAATAAGAGGCTGTGATTAGTCAGCCCATATTCGTAGTCTCTAAATCCTAAGGGGTGTGTTGTCAAACTTAGATTTGAGAGGATTTTAATAGATTTTGATAAGTGATGGATTTCATAGGATTATGTAGACTTCTACAAATCCATATGATTTTGGAAGATTTGAGAAGATTCACGTAACACATTTCTATGGATTTTGATAGATTTTTAGCGTTGAATCTTAACCGTCAAATAAATCCAATAGTGATAAATGAATCTAGGTCATAAATCTAATCAAATAAAGTTGTTCATGCTCTAGAGCTACATCCCTTGGAGCCGAAAAAAAAAGTCAAGATTATTATACAAACCGAACTCAAAGATCCATAGTTGCACCCCTTTCCAATCCTACTTCCTACCCCACTTTATTCTTATTTGTTCCTAATATTTATGAATGAAACAAATGCATGCATGGTACAAAGACAAGCATAATTAAGAAGCAGACATGCTCTCAAAATTTCCTCTTGATCAATCTATTAGACACCTAGGTATCATAATCCAGAGAAACCTTTCTCATTTACAACTAGAAGCAGTCCAATCGTAATATGAAAATTTCGCAGAAACAATAGCAATCAGCATGAGGGCCCAACAACATGAAAAAATTGCAAATATATATGAAGAAAAAAGTTGCAGCCCAACAATGAAAAGTTGAAGAAAAAATTGCATAAAAATGATGCGACCTAGCAACGAAAATTGAAGAAAAAATTGCAGAGATGAAGGAAGAAGATAAAGCAAACAAAGTGGCCGGCAGTGAGAAAAAGAGGAGTCAACGTTCAAAGAGGTCCCTGGATTTGAAATCCTAAGGTGTGAGGTAGGATTCTATTTGGTCTTGAATATATATAC